GTTTGATATAGGTTTTTTATAGTTAATTACAGTTTATCAGATTAAGAAAGTTTTCTCCTATTTCTAATTTGCCAATTATTCTTTTGATCATAGATGGATGTTGAATTTTATCAACTTTTTTTTTTGGAGATGGAGTGTCAGTCACTCTGTCACCCAGGCTGGAGTGCAGTGATGTGATCTCAGCTTACTGCAAGCTCTGCCTCCTGGGTTCAAGCAATTCTCCTGCCTCAGTCTCCCAAGTAGCTGGGACTACAGGCGTGTGCCACCACGCCCAGCTAATTTTTTGTATTTTTAGTAGAGATGGGATTTCACCATGTTAGCCAGGATGGTCTCAATCTCCTGACCTCGTGATCCACCCGCCTCGGCCTCCCAAAGTGCTGGGATTACAGGTGGGAGCCACCGCGCCTGGCCGAATTTTATCAACTTTGTTTTGCACCCATTGAGATGATAATAAGATTTTTTTTCTCCTTTAACCTGTTAATGTAGTAAATTGCATTGATTGAACTTTCTAATATTAAACCAGCCTTAGAACAGTGGTACTCAACTTGATTCATCATCAGAATCACACAAATAAAAAGTCTTTTTAAAAGTCTATATCAGCCGGGCATGGTAGCACGTGTATTCCTGTTTCTCTTTTTGTTTCATATTTTATTAAAAGAAATAAAATAATACAGATAAAGCTGATATCCCCTTTCTTTCTCTTTTCAGTTTCATATCCTTCTTTTCTCTTTGGAAAGCTTCCCCATCCTAGTAATTTGTGTATTTCTTTATTTTGTTTTTAAGCTCAAGTTTTGTTTGTTTTTTCCTTTGTTTGTTTGTTTTGTTTTGTTTTTGTAGAGATGGGGTTTGGCCATATTGCCCAGGTTGGTCTCGAACTCCTGAGCTTAAGTGATCCACCCACCTTGGGCCTCCCAAAAATGCTAGGATTATAGGCGTGAGCCACCATGTTCTGCCTTAAGCTTAATTACTTTTAAAAAATAGGTTATACATATACATGGCACAGAATTCAAAAGGAACAAGTTAAGTCCTATTTCTGCATCCAGCTACCCATTTTTCCTCTGCAGAAGTAACCACCAACACTGGTTTGTGTGTCCTTTTGGAAATATCTGACATCTGTCTAGATGTAGATGTGCTCTTAGTCTCTCCTCTACCGCCCAACCAGTACCATGCTCTACAGACTGTTCTCCACTTAACTGAGTCCATGTAACATTACAACACTGGACATCATTCCATTTCAATGCACATCCTGTCATGTACCCCATAAGGAGACTTTGGTTAACAATGAACCACATGTGATGGTGTTCCCTTAAGATTATAATACCACATTTTTACTGTAGCCTTTCAATGTTTAGATATGTTTAGATACAGGGATACTCACCGTTGTGTTACAGTTGCCTGCAGTATTCAGTATAGCAACATGCTGTACAGGTTTGCAGCCTGGGAGCCGTAGGTTATACCGTATCACCTAGGTGTGCAGTAGGCTCTACCATCCAGGTTTGTGTAAGTGCACTCTATGATGTTCACACAAAGATGACATTGCCTGGTGACACATTTCTTAGAAGATATCCTCATTGTTAAGCAACACGTGACTATAGTTCTACCCTGAAAAGTGTTCTATTATAATGGTGTACGTTATTTTACTTGGTTGGTCTCCTATTGATGGGTATGAATTCAAGCTGTTTCTACTCTTTTGCTATTACAAACAGTGCTGCAATGAATAATCTATATTATCTTTGGGAACATGTGAAGTAGAAGTACTAGTATAAAATTTTGGGACCGGGGGCGGTGGCTCACGCCTGTTATCCCAGCACTTTGGGAGGCCGAGGCAGGCGGATCACCTGAGGTCTGGAGCTCGAGACCAGCCTGACCAACATGGAGAAACCCCATCTCTACTAAAAATACAAAAAAATTAGCCGGGCATGGTGGCGCATGCCTGTGATCTCAGCTACTCGGGAGGCTGAGGCAGGAGAATCACTTGAACCTGGGAGGCGGAGGTTGCAATGAGCCGAGATCATCGCGCCATTGCCCTCCAGCCTGGGCAACAAGAATGAAACTCAGTCTCAAAAAAAAAAAAAAAAGGTAGATAATGCCAAAGTGATCTCCACAAGTGTTTACTAATTTTCATTCCTACCAGCAAATATAAAAGTGCCAGTTTCCCCTCATACTCTTTATAGTACAGTCTTTGCTTTGCTTTCTTTCTTTCTTTTTTCTTTTTTTTTTTTTTTAGATAGAGTCTTGTTCTGTCACCCAGGCTGGAGTGCAACGGCGATCTCGCCTCACAGCAACGTCCACCTCCTGGATTCAAGCAATTCTCCTGCCTCAGCCTCCCAAGTAGTTGGGATTGCAGGTGCCTGCCACCACACCTAGCTAGTGTCTATAATTTTTTAGTAGAGACAGGTTTTCACCATGTTGGCCAGACTTGTCTTGAACTCCTGACCTCAGGTGATCGACCCGTCTCGGCCTCCCAAACTGTTGGGATTACAGGCACGAGCCACCACGCCCAGCCCTCTTTATGTTTTTAAAGGCCATTAAATGGCCTTGAGCCCAGGAGTTCAAGACCATCCTCAGCAACATGGTGAAACCTTGTCTCTACAGAAAAATACAAAAATTCGCCAGGTGTGGTGGTGTGAGCTGGTAGTCTCTGCTACTCAGGAATTTGAGGCGGGAGGATTAACTGAGCCTGGGGAGCTCAAGGCTGCAGTGAGCTGTAATTATGCCACTGCACTCCAGCCTGGGCAACAATGTGAGAACCCGTCTCAAAAAAATAAAAAAATAAAAAATAAATAAAAACGTAAAGAGATGTTCGACCTCACTCTTTTTTTTTTTTTCTTTTTTTTTTTGAGACGGAGTCTCGCTGTGTTGCCCAGGCTGGAGTGCAGTGGCCAGATCTCAGCTCACTGCAAGCTCCGCCTCCTGGGTTTACGCCATTCTCCTGCCTCAGCCTCCCGAGTAGCTGGGACTACAGGCGCCCGCCACCGCGCCCGGCTAGTTTTTTTGTATTTTTTAGGAGAGACGGGGTTTCACCATGTTAGCCAGGATGGTCTCGATCTCCTGACCTCGTGATCCGCCCGTCTCGGCCTCCCAAAGTGCCGAGATTACAGGCTTGAGCCACTGTGCCCGGCCGACCTCACTCTTAATAATACAAATGTGGAATAAACTACAATAAAATACACTTTTTTAAAACTTTTATACTTTTTATCACTTAGTGATAAAGATCAAAACATTTGCAAATGTGATCTGTTATTTGTCTTTTGCCTATGTTTCTATAGAATTATGCAATTTTTACTGATTTGGAGGAGCTCTGTGCATATAAGGAAATTAGCTCTTGTGATAAGCATTGAAAATATATTTTTTGAGTGTCTTTTCTTATGATTTTGTATTGATTTTTCTGAAGTCTTTTGTTTAAATCTTTTATCTCATGGTGTGTAGGTTTTGTGTCATTTCAGAAGGCCTTCTCCACTCCAAGGTTTAAAAAATCATTTCCATCTTTTCTTCTAAAACTTTAATTTTTAGAAAAACAATGTAGTTATTTTTTATCCATCTGGACTTTTATGTAAGAAATGGGGTAAAGATCCACCTTATTTTTTCCCTAGATAATTTCTCAGTTGTCCTTAAAGATTTATTTAATAATTTCTCTTTTTCCTGGGGAGTTTTATTTTTAAGGTATGAAACCATATTCACCATGAGAGGGAAAAAAAAAACAATCAAATTACACATTTTTAAAACCTGATTGTTATCACAGATATAAAAAGATTGAGAAAAATTACAGTTTTTTGTTTTTTGTTTGTTTGTTATGAGATGGAGTTTTGTTCTATTGCCCAGGCTGGAGTGCAGTGGTGCCATCTTGGCTCACTGCAACCTCTGCCTCCCGGGTTCAAGCGGTTCTCCTGCCTCAGCCTCCTGAGTAGCTGGGATTACAGGTGCCCTCCACTACACCCGGCTTATTTTTGTACTTTTAGTAGAGACGGAGTTTCACCATGTTGGCCAGACTGGTCTTGAACTCCTGACCTCATGATCCACCCACCTCGGCCTCCCAAAGTGCTGGGATTACAGACTTGAGCCACCATGCCCGCCGACACAACCTTTTTATTAACTGCCTTATGTTTCTCTAAAGCATTTTACTCCAGAGAGCTCCCCCCATTTTAAATATACTGTGCAATAAAAGTAAATATCCAGTAAAATTCACTTTTTCTTTGTTGAACAGTTCTAAGTTTAGACAAATGCATAGACTTGTGTAACCAGCCACCACATTCAAGATAGAGAACAGTCCTTTCACCCCCATATATTCTCTCATGCTACTATTTTGTAGGCAAACCCTGCCCTCACCCCAATCCCTGGCACCTACTTCTCTGTTTTCTACAAGTACCCATGTGCTGAGAATTTCTGGTGACTGTTTTTAGGGTTTTGTTTTGTTTTGTTTTGTTTTTGAGGCAGAGTCTCATTCTGTTGGCCAGGCTGGAGTGCAGTGGCACCATCTCAGCCCACTGCAACCTCCGCCTCCTAGGTTCAAGTGATTCTCTTGCCCCAGCCTCCCGAGTAGCTGGGATTACAGGCATGTACCACCAGGACTGACTAATTTTTGGATTTTTAGTAGAGATGGGGTTTCACCATGTTGGCCAGGCTGGTGTTGAACTCCTGACCTCAGGTGATCTGCCCGCCTCGGCCTCCCAAAGTGCTGGGATTACAGGTGTGAGCCACCACGCCTGGCCAACTGGTAACTGAATTGAGTCAAGTGGGAACTGTTGCCTGAGGACATTGCTGCCATTTTTTTTTTTTTTTTTTTTTTTTGCGACGGAGTCTCGCTCTGTTGCCCAGGCTGGAGTGCAGTGGCGTGATCTCGGCTCACTGCAAGCTCTGCCTCCCAGGTTCATGCCATTCTCTTGCCTCAGACTCCCAAGTAGCTGGGACTACAGGCATCCGCCACCACGCCCGGCTAATTTTTTGTATTTTTAGTAGAGACGGGGTTTCACTGTGTTAGCTAGGATGGTCTCAATCTCATGACCTCGTGATCCACCCACCTCGGCCTCCCAAAGTGCTGGGATTACAGGCATGAGCCACCACACCCGGCCGGAGGAGGACATTGCTTCTTAACTGGCAGAAACTTGCTCTGCACCCTGGAATATATTCTGAAAGCTGGGAACAGTCAGAGGCCTCAAACAAATAATCATAAGAGCTAACATTTCCTGAGCGCTTACTACATAACAGGTACTGCCAAGGGCATTTAAAGTGTTATCTCACTTTTCACAGCAGTTCCATAAGGTAAATCTATCATCCCCATTTTACAGATGAGGCCACTGAGGCTAAAGATAAAGTACTTTGCGCAAGATCATAGAGCCAGGAAAGAGTGGAGCCAAGATTTGGACCCAGGCTGGCCAATTGCTGTGCGCATGCTCCTTACCCCTCTACTATATTGCCTTCCCTCCAAAGGAGAGGTTACCTGTCTCTGCCACCCCCAGCCTGGAAATGCGACCAGCACCCACATTGGCTCTCACATCGTCATATTCTCTCCTAATGCAACTTCTTGTTTGGGAAATAGATATTGCTGAAGCCAGGATGATTCAGGAGGGGCTTCTGTGATGGGCAGGGTGGAGGACTATGCTGGGGAGGGGTGCTGGGAGATCGCCATCTGTTTCTGTCTTGCTGACAGCATTTTTCCCCTCTCCGCACTGGACAGAGCCTCCTCTGTTCCTCTCCATCTGACTTCCTGCTTCCTCCTCTGGCTTTGGAGTGCCTGGCTCCTCTGACTACCTCTTCTTAAGCCCCCATCTCTTCTCTCTCTCACTCCGCTTGGTAAGAGGAACAAGGGTTCTGGGGTCTGGGCAAAGGGAAACATCTCCTGGCTCTAGCAAATGGGCCCCGTGAGGGTTGGGTGCACCCCTGAAAAGGTAAATCCACCCCGGGGAGCTCTACCAGAGGCATTACCACTCCCTAGTAGGGCATCTGGAAGCGGCAGTTATTTTCTTAAAACTCAAATTATAGTAAGCATACAGAATAGCACCCAGATCATGAACTTGATTCCCACAGGGTGAATACACTCCTGTAACCAGTATCAGATCAGGAGATAGAATATTCCCAGCATCCCGTGTAACCAGTACCAGATTAAGAAATAAAACATTCCCAGCAACCCAGAGGTTCCTCTCCAGGCTCTCTTCTAGTCACCGTCCCTAGAGTAGAGGGCTGGGGTGTTTTTGTTTGTCATAATCACTGCTGGGTTCTACTGGCATTGAGTTGGCAGAGTCTAGGAATCCTAAGTGTCTGCAATGCATGGGACAGTCCTACCGTATAAAGAACTGTCCTGCCCAGATGCACTGTTGAGAAACACTGTACCTGCCAGGTCTGACCAGTGATGGGCTGCAGTGTGGCAAAGGCCTGGGGAACAGGGGTGCAGCTGTGTCTGTGGGTCAGAGTGAGGAAGGGCCTTCACTGCAATTCTGTTGCCACCCTCAGGCCTCCGGAATGCTCCCCGCTGCTGGGCAGTGATCCAGCCCCTGCTGTGTGCCGTATACATGCCCAAGTGTGAGAATGACCGGGTGGAGCTGCCCAGCCGTACCCTCTGCCAGGCCACCAGAGGCCCCTGTGCCATCGTGGAGAGGGAGCGGGGCTGGCCTGACTTCCTGCGCTGCACTCCTGACCGCTTCCCTGAAGGCTGCACGGTGAGTGCTCTGTGAGACAAGGTCCAGGCTCTCTGGGCTGGGCAGGACCGGGTATAGGGCAGGGTCCAGTGGGGAGCAGGGGAGCCCAGAGCTTTGTCTCCTGGAGACCCTGAGCCTACAGCCATGGGGTCAGCAAGCCACAAACTCAAACTGCAGTTCACTGGCTGGACCCGTCTATTAGGGATTCTCTATTTATTTATCAGTGATCACATGTTCAGCAAAATGTTTTGAGCACTGGCTGTGTTGGGTATTGTGGTGTTATGGGCATCACAGATGACGGGAGCCTATCAGGAAGTTTCTCATCTATGTTGGGAGTCAAGGCATGAGCATGTGAAACAGCTAGAGCCACCAAGACAGGGGACGTGAGCTAGTTCTGAGTGGTGCAGGAGAGATCTTCAATGAAAATAATAACAGTAATAATTATAGTAATAATATCAATTAGTCCTGTTTACTATATGCCAAATACCATTATAATAAGCTCACGCCTGTAATCCCAGCACTTTGGGAGGCCGAGGCGGGCAGATCACCTGAAGTCAGGAGTTCCAGACCAGCCTGGCCAACATGGCGAAACCCCGTCTCTACTAAAAATACAAACATAAGTCTGATGTCGTGGCACCTGTAGTCCCAGCTACTCGGGAGGCTGAGACACGAGAATCGCTTGAACCTGGGAGGTGGAAGTTGCAGTGAGCTGAGATCGTGCCACTGAACTCCAGCCTGGGCTGCAGAGTGAGACTCTGTCTCAAAACAAACAAACAAATAAACAAACTGGCCGGACACAGTGGCTCACACCTGTAATGCCATGACTTTGGAAGGCCGAGGCAGGTGGATCACTTGATGAGGTCAGAAGTTCAAGACCAGCCTGACCAACAGGGTGAAACTCCATCTCTACTAAAAATACAAAAAATTAGCCGGATGTGGTGGTGGGCACCTGTAATCCCAGCTACTTGGGAGGCTGAGGCAGGAGCATTACTTGAACCCGGGAGGCAGAGGTTGCAGTGAGCTGAGATTGTGCCATTGCACTCCAGCCTGGGCGACAGAGCCAGACTCTGTCTCTCTCTCTCTCTCTCTCTCAAAAATATATGTTTATTCTTTTAACCCTTAAACCATACCATGAGGTAAGTACTACCATCTTAGAAATGGGGAAACTGGCTGGGCGCCGTGGCTCACGCCTGTAATCCCAGCACTTTGGGAGGCCGAGGCGGGTGGATCATGAGGTCAGGAGTTCAAGACCAGCCTGGCCAACCTGGTGAAACCCCGTCTCTACTAAAAATACAAAAATTAGCCAGGTGTGGTGTGGGTGCCTGTAGTCCCAGCTACTCGGGAGGCTGAGGCAGGAGAATTGCTTGAACCCGGGAGGCAGAGGTTGCAGTGAGCCGAGATTGCGCCACTGCCCTCCAGGCTGGGTGACAGAGCGAGACTGTCTCAAAAAAAACAAAAAAAAAAGAGAAAGAAGTGGGGAAACTGAGGTACAGAGAGGCCAAATAATTTGCCAAGCCAGTCCTGGGATTCAGGTCCCAGAAGTGTATCTCCAGCCACCCTGCCATGCTACCTGGATACCTTTCCCTAAACGAGAGGCTCGCTCCTGAGCTGCCTTGACACCATCTTTTCCCATCCCTGGTGCCAGAATGAGGTGCAGAACATCAAGTTCAACAGTTCAGGCCAGTGCGAAGTGCCGTTGGTTCGGACAGACAACCCCAAGAGCTGGTACGAGGACGTGGAGGGCTGCGGCATCCAGTGCCAGAACCCGCTCTTCACCGAGGCTGAGCACCAGGACATGCACAGCTACATCGCGGCCTTTGGGGCCGTCACAGGCCTCTGCACGCTCTTCACCCTGGTCAGCCGCGGGAGGGCATGCCCGGGATGCACTCTGCCTGGAACACGGGAAGAGAGCCAGAGGGAAGGGGGGCAAAGAGGTCTTGGTGGGGGTCCCCAGGGAAGGGTCATGCTCAGAAGGGTCCGGGGCTCAGTTAAGGGTGTCTGTGTCAGCGGAATAACCCTAACCTTGCAGAATGGCCCACTTCTCTCTTCTAGGCCACATTCGTGGCTGACTGGCGGAACTCGAATCGCTACCCTGCTGTTATTCTCTTCTACGTCAATGCGTGCTTCTTTGTGGGCAGCATTGGCTGGCTGGCCCAGTTCATGGATGGTGCCCGCCAGGAGATCGTCTGCCGTGCAGATGGCACCATGAGGCTTGGGGAGCCCACGTAGGTGTCTTGGGGACCCAGGGGTGAAGGTGCAGGGAGGAAGGCTGAAGTGTGCGTTTACTCCAAAAGGGGCAGGTGCATGTAAACCCGAGATCCAGAGCAGGATCTGGCTCTGCCTTACTGCATACTGCATGCAAGGTGTCCAGTGTTAGGATCTTAGTTTCAGAATCAGGACCTTCGTGGTTTGCATCTGCTCAAAGGGGTGGCTCCTAGAGCCTCCTCAGATCTCATCTGGGTCCTGTCTGCAAGCCCTGACTTCTGGGAACCTCCAGACCTCAGCAGCCGAGGGTCTGGGCACAGGGTGGGGAGACCAGGTGGAGGGAGTACGGAGTGACCACTTCAAGTGACACCTCACCTCTCTGCACAGCTCCAATGAGACTCTGTCCTGCGTCATCATCTTTGTCATCGTGTACTATGCCCTGATGGCTGGCGTGGTTTGGTTTGTGGTTCTCACCTATGCCTGGCACACTTCCTTCAAAGCCCTAGGCACCACCTACCAGCCTCTCTCGGGCAAGACCTCCTACTTCCACCTGCTCACTTGGTCACTCCCCTTTGTCCTCACTGTGGCAATCCTTGCTGTGGCGCAGGTATAGTGACTGGTAGGGACGGGAGTTCTGGATAGGGTGAGTTTGAGGGAGGGGGCCAGTAACCCACCTTCCCTCCCACCCCTTCCTGCCGCAGGTGGATGGGGACTCTGTGAGTGGCATCTGTTTTGTGGGCTACAAGAACTACCGATACCGTGCGGGCTTCGTGCTGGCCCCAATCGGCCTGGTGCTCATCGTGGGAGGCTACTTCCTCATCCGAGGTGAGTGAAGACCAGACCAGGACCAGCTGGGTAACAAGATGTGCTGGGCACTTGCTGTGTGTGATCGGGAGCCAGGAGCTGCCAACACAGCTGCCCCCATGCTGAGACCCCAGCTAGTTGCTACAGGGCCTTTGCACAGAGTAGAAGGTGACCCTCTAGGCAGACGAAACACTGTGAGCACTTCTTGCGGGACACCTTTGTGCTGGCCAGAAAAATCCATCCCTCTCTCCAGGGCCTTGGCCCAGGGCTCACAGCTTGTTTTTTTTGTTGTTGTTGTTTATTTTTGTTTTTGAGATAGAGTCTGGCTCTGTTGCCCAGGCTGGAGTGCAGTGGCACAATCTTGGCTCACTGCAAACTTGCCTCCTGGGTTCAAGCTATTCTCCTGCCTCAGCCTCCCCCATAGCCGAAATTACAGGCATGCACCACCATATCTGGTTTTTGTATTTTTAGTAGAGACGGGGTTTCACCATGTTGGCCAAGCTGGTCTTGAACTCCTGACCTAAAGTGATCCACCCATCTCGGCCTCCCAAAGTGCCGGGATTATAGGCGTGAGTCACCCTGCCCAGCCTCACAGCTTGTTAGGTGGAGATGGGCCAGGATCCAGCCCCAGTCAGCTCCTGGCCAGTGCGCTTGTGTGATGAACACCCTGAGTAATCTACTCTGCCCACTTGGCCCAACCTGGGTCCTTTGGTTATCCGTGTGCACATTATTAACTTAATGATATGTACTGTCAATCTTCTGGAGCTTGGTTTTCATCTTCTTTCTGCCCCCAGCACACACAGCTCTCAGCATGCATGGAATTAGTGGTCCCTGACTTTCCTGTCTCGGGCTGCCGTCCCACAGTAAGCCTCAGCATCTATTTAGCTCATTGTTGTTGGGTTTCCTTTGTGAACCTCAGTTTCCTCACCCTGAACTGCCAGCCTTCTGTTCAGTCTCCTCTTTCCCCTCTTTTTAGCATAGTGTCTGGGCCTCTGATTTGTGCTTCGTTATCATGCTGTCCTGGTGTGGTAATCACTAGCCACATGTGTTGAAACTAGTCCAGGCTGAGTGCGGCAGCTCACTCCTGTAATCCCAGTACTTTGGGAGGCTGAGACGGACGGATCACTTGAGCTCAGGAGTTCAAGACCAGCCTGAACAACATAGTGAGACCCCATTTCTACAAAAAATACAAAAGTTGCCTGGGCAGGGTGGCACATGCCTGTGGTCCCAGCTATGTGAGAGGCTGAGGTGAGAGGCTTGCTTGAGCCCAGAAGGTTGAGGCTGCAGTAAGTCATGATCATGCCACTGCACTCTAGCCTGGGCAATAGAGTGAGACCCTGTCTCAAAGAAAACAAGACAACAACTAAAAGAAACGAGTCCAAATTGAGGTGTATTGTAAAATGTGAAATACACATTGTATTTTAAAAAAAACTTAGCAGGAAAAAAATGTAAAATATCTCATTAATAATGTGTTACATGGATTATGTGTTGAAATGATTTTTATTTTGAATATATTGGGTTTGTAAAATATATTGATACTAGTTTTGCTTGTTTCTTCTAACTTTTTTTAAGTGGCCACTAGAAAATTGTCATATGTATGTGGATCACATATTTCTATGGGAAGGCCGGCATGGTGGCTCACACCTGTAATCCCAGCACTTTGGGAGGCCGAGGTGGGCATATCACCTGAGTTCAGGAGTTCAAGACCATCCTGGCCAACATGGTGAAACCCCACCTTTACAAAAATACAAAAATTAGCCAGCATGATGGTGGGTGCCTGTGATTCCAGGTGCTTGGGAGGCTGAGGCAGGAGAATTGCTTGAACCTGGGAGGCGGAGTTTGCAATGAGCTGAGATCGCACCATTGCACTCCAGCCTGGGAGACAGGGTTCCGTCTAAAAAAAAAACAACTACTATATTGGATAGCGCTGTTCTTGAGTTTGTTTTATGCCTTTTCCATCAGAACAGCTTTGATCTGCCCCCTTCCTCAGGGGCAGCTAGGCCACGACCGAGGTTTCCTCTTCTCGTGTCTGTCTAGGCTCTGCCCTTGTCTTCCCAGTCCCTGGTAGACCTGCCACCAACTTCTCACCATTTCTCCAGTGTCTCTAGCTCCCCAGGCTTTCAGTCAGCACAGGGGTAATCAGACTTGGGACTCCAGAGCCTTAGGACCCTCCTCCCACTCACCCATCCTTCCCAGCAGGGCAGCCTCACCCCTGCTAATGTCTGAGGTCCCCCTTCTGTTCAGGAGTCATGACTCTGTTCTCCATCAAGAGCAACCACCCGGGGCTGCTGAGTGAGAAGGCTGCCAGCAAGATCAATGAGACCATGCTGCGCCTAGGTGAGTGGCCCCAGGACTTCGGTCTGAGGTCCTGGCCAGTCCAACACTGCACCCTCCTGGGGCTATGTGACCAGCAGGGTGCAGTAAGTCAGTGGGACAAGTTAGCCATGGGGACAAGGACAAGGGGTGTGTGTAGGTAGTAGTGGTAGTGGCAGCTCAGAAGAAGGGGGCCTACTCGGGGGGAAGAATTCAAGTTCATGCCGGGACTGGTTCCTCCTGCCCACTACATCCCACGTGGGCCCTCCCACGGCTGCCTCAAGTGCCCTTCTTTATTTTAGAGGAAGCAGTTCTTGAACTGAGCCCAGGATGAGTTCACCCCAGCCCGAGCGAGCGGTCTTTGAGGCTTCAGTGGGGCAGACTCCCTCCTCCCCACTGCTGCTGCGGGGCTGGGCTTGGTAACGTCCTGTCCTGCCCCTGTCCTCCACAGGCATTTTTGGCTTCCTGGCCTTTGGCTTTGTGCTCATTACCTTCAGCTGCCACTTCTACGACTTCTTCAACCAGGCTGAGTGGGAGCGCAGCTTCCGGGACTATGTGCTGTGAGTGAGGGGCATGGAGGCGGCAGTGTTGGGAGCCGGAGCCAAGGCCATAGGACACCCACTGGGCAGCAGGGATTTGCCAAGTCCCTGCTGCATCCAGCAGATTCAACTGATGGTGTCTGGGTGCATAAGGCATCAGTCTCTGCAGTTTCAAACATGGCAAACAACCTTTGCATCCTTTCTCACCTCTGCCCTTCCCTCTCCACCCCCCTGGTTGCCCCGCTGGTGCATGTGTGACTGTTAAGCAGCCAGTTCAGCTTTGTGACTGACACGAAGTTGCCCTCTAATTCTGCGTGCTCTCCCGCAGAGCCTGCTGTAGATCCCGGCACAGGACTAGTTACCTCTCTATGATCGGTTAATGACCTGTCAGTGTCGGCTAGTTTTGCCTGTGCTTTTTTGTGTCATAATGAGGATGGATTGGAGAGAGTAAGACATCTCTACTTCGGAGAGAAGCGCAGTGCCCACTGTTACAAGGACAGCCACTAAAATGGATGCTAGTCCAAGTCCTGACTGTGTCAGGCTCTTCCTTAAAGGTTCTGGCCTCCAGTCTGGGATACTTTAAACCACAATGATGCCTCCGTCTCTGCCCCCAGAGATTTGATTTAATTGTCTGGGGCGGGACCCAGACGTCAGTAGCTATTAAAAGCTCCCCAGTTGATTCTAATGAGCACCCAGGGTTGAGATCAGCGCTGTGGGGCTTAGCCCTTTCTAAAGTTTTTGGGTTGATTGTCTGAGTCTACCCCGTAGACTCAGAAAACCCCACCTGTAGTTCCAGCTACTTGGGAGGCTGAAGCAGGAGGTTGCCTGAGCCCAGGAATTGCAAGCTGCAGTGGGCTGTGATCGTGCCACCGCACTCTAGCCTGGGTGACAGAGCAAGACCCTGTCTCAAAAAAAGAGAGAGAGAAAAAAGGAAAGCCTCACCTGCCTACATCCCCTCACTGTAGGTGTCAGGCCAATGTGACCATCGGACTGCCCACCAAGAAGCCCGTCCCTGACTGTGAGATCAAGAATCGCCCGAGCCTTCTGGTGGAGAAGATCAACCTGTTTGCCATGTTTGGAACTGGCATCGCCATGAGCACCTGGGTCTGGACCAAGGCCACGCTGCTCATCTGGAGGCGCACCTGGTGCAGGTGGGCGCGGCAGCCAGCCCCTCCTGCCCTGCCCACCTCACCCTCAGCCTTGGGACCCCATCTTTCGGTTTTGTCGGGTCCTGCTTCTAGCGCAGCCTTGGTCAGTGGTTCACCACTGCCCCCTGGTGGCACCTCCTGTCCTTGAGTGGCCCAATGCCTGGGCCTGGGCCAAGTGCAGAGCCAGCTGTCATCATCTCTTAAGAGTGGAGTGATGGGAGGGCTGGGCACACAGGAGCTCTGCATTCTGGCCGCACTTCTTTGCAGAGAAGGCCTCTACTCCTGAGTCTTTGAAGGACTTGAGGCCCCTGGGAGCCTCCTTCTCTGGAAAGAATGGCATCGCTGGCCCTTCCCAAGATTCGATGGGAAGCGGCTGTTTCTTCACGCTCCTTCCCTATCCCTTCTACTCTCAGGTTGACTGGGCAGAGTGACGATGAGCCCAAGCGGATCAAGAAGAGCAAGATGATTGCCAAGGCCTTCTCCAAGCGGCACGAGCTCCTGCAGAACCCAGGCCAGGAGCTGTCCTTCAGCATGCACACTGTGTCCCATGATGGGCCTGTGGGTGAGCCTCGCCCCTCCTCCACCGGAGCCTCCTGGCCCCGCGCTGCCCATGTGCTATTCTCTCCCAGCCTGCTGGGGGCACACTTGGAAGACTGACTGTGTGGAGCAAGGCACTCTCTCTGTCACTCACACACCCATTCTTCCCCAGGCCCCTCCCACCCTCTGGGGGGCTTCCCGTCTCTGTTTCTGCCCCTGGGTCTGCTTGCCAGTGCTTGGGTTCCAAGAAGACTCCGCAGTTGCTATCCCTGGGCAAGAGTAAGTCAGGGTTCCAAGAACTGGATTTCTGCCCTCCAGTTAGGCCCTTTGGGGACCTGAGGCCCTTCTCTTCAGATTCTGAAGGGGTAGAGATCACCGTGGTTACAGGGTGAGCGTTCTCTGGTGAGCAGGAGGGACTGGCTGTGGGAAGATGAATGGCACTGAGTATGGGAGGCACTGCCAGGGACTGGGGAGTCACTATTCCTTCTCCTTTCCTTCCTTCTATTCCCACAGCGGGCTTGGCCTTTGATCTCAATGAGCCCTCAGCTGATGTCTCCTCTGCCTGGGCCCAGCATGTCACCAAGATGGTGGCTCGGAGAGGAGCCATACTGCCCCAGGATATTTCTGTCACCCCTGTGGCAACTCCAGGTATGAGGGTTCAGGCTGCTGGAGGAAGATGGAGGGGCACAGAGGCTGGGGGCTTCTGGGACTGGAGTACAGGGGCTGTCAAAGGAGGAGGAAGAGGAAGGAAAGGCGCCAGAGGATCTGAAAGGTGGGGCTGAGGCTCTAAGAGTCTAGAGGCCTGGGCCCCAGAACTAACAGGGTAAGGGCTCCCAGGAGAGTGGGGGTGGCATGGACAGAGCCAGGGCCCCAGGCTCATGTTTTCTCTCCTCCTGTCAGTGCCCCCAGAGGAACAAGCCAACCTGTGGCTGGTTGAGGCAGAGATCTCCCCAGAACTGCAGAAGCGCCTGGGCCGGAAGAAGAAGAGGAGGAAGAGGAAGAAGGAGGTGTGCCCGCTGGCGCCGCCCCCTGAGCTTCACCCCCCTGCCCCTGCGCCCAGTACCATTCCTCGACTGCCTCAGCTGCCCCGGCAGAAATGCCTGGTGGCTGCAGGTGCCTGGGGAGCTGGGGACTCTTGCCGACAGGGAGCGTGGACCCTGGTCTCCAACCCATTCTGCCCAGAGCCCAGTCCCCCTCAGGATCCATTTCTGCCTAGTGCACCAGCCCCCACGGCCTGGGCTCACGGCCGCCGACAGGGCCTGGGGCCCATTCACTCCCGCACCAACCTGATGGAGGCAGAACTCATGGATGCAGACTCGGACTTCTGAGCCTGCAGAGCAGGACCTAGGACAGGAAAGAGAGGAACCAATACCTTCAAGGCTCTTCTTCCTCACCGAGCGTGCTTCCCTAGGATCCCGTCTTCCAGAGAACCTGTGGGCTGACTGCCCTCCCAGGAGAGTTCTGGATGTCTGGCTCAAAGCAGCAGGACTGTGGTAAAGAGCCTAACATCTCCACGGGGAGGCCTCACCCCAGGGACAGGGCCTGGAGCTCAGGGTCCTTGTTTCTGCCCCACCAGCTGCAGCCTGGTTGGCAGCATCTGCTCCATCGGGGCAGGGGGTATGCAGAGCTTGCGGTGGGGCAGGAATGGTGGAGGCAGAGGTGACAGTTCCCAGAGTGGGCTGTGGTGGCCAGGGAGGCAGCCTAGCCCACGTCTGGCCGATGAGGGCTGGCTGCCGTTTTCTGGGCTGATGGGTGCCCTTTCCTGGCAATCTCAGTCCAAAAGTGTTAATTTTTTCATTAGTCCTTTGTCTAAGTAGGGCCAGGGCTCCCTCTTCCTCTCGCAGGTGTTTGTGGGGCTGGAAGGGCCTGCTCCCATAGGGGCCGTGTCGCCTCTTAATAGTTGGCCCTACCCCAAACCCATCTTTTGTTCTCCTGTATCCTCCTTCCCTTGTTCCATTTCAGTTCAATTTCAGAGCTGCCAACCTCTTCACATTTCTTTTTTTTTGATGAGGACCCAGAGCTGCTGCACACACTCACCTCCAACCCCCTCCCCTCGCTGCTGGGCCCCATCGCCACGGGAGAGACTGGTTCAGCTCTAGGGCCTCAGCCTGGAGTGGGATAGGAGAGGAGAGTAATGGGGCCTCCGAAAGATGTGTCATCTCTTCCTCACACCCATTCAGTGGGGGATGGGTCCTCTAGACTTGAGGGGCTGCCCTGGGAAGCTGCTGTAGCTTCAGCCAGGCAAGAAAGCTTCCTTCAACCTGCATAGCCGGTGGGTGAGATTCCCACCTTCCATAGCCTCCAACCATGTTCCCAAGGCCCCACTTTCAAGAATCAGACAGCAGGAAGCCATAGATGCTGGCTGGGTTCCAGGTTATGGGGAGAAGAAATACAGTCAATAAAAGGTTTTTGTATAAACTCTTTGTGTGTTTTTTTGTTTTGTTTTTTTTTTTTTTTTTTTGAGACGGAGTCTCGCTCTGCCACCCAGGCTGGAGTGCAGTGGCCGGATCTCAGCTCACTGCAAGCTCCGCCTCCCGGGTTCACGCCATTCTCCTGCCTCAGCCTCCCGAGTACCTGGGACTACAGGCGCCCGCCACTGCGCCCGGCTAGTTTTTTGTATTTTTTAGTAGAGACGGGGTTTCACCGTGTTAGCCAGGATGGTCTCGATCTCCTGACCTCGTGATCCGCCCGTCTCGGCCTCCCAAAGTGCTGGGATTACAGGCTTGAGCCACCGCGCCCGGCCCTTTGTGTGTTTTTTGTTTTGTTTGTTTTTTGTTTTTGAGACAGAGTCTTGCTCTGTCGCCCAGGCTGGAGTGCAGTGGTGCATCTCTGCTCACTGCAAGCTCCGTCTCCCGGGTTCACGCCATCCTCCTGCCTCAGCCTCCCAAGTAGCTGGGACTACAGGTGCCTGCCACCACCCCTGGCTGATTTTTTGTATTTTTTTTAGTAGAGACGGGGTTTCACCATGTTAGCCAGGATGGTCTTGATCTCCTGACCTCGTGATCTGCCCGCCTCAGTTTCCCAAAGTGCTGGGATTACAGGTGTGAGCCACCGCGCCCGGCCTTTTTTTTTTTTTTTTTTGAGATAAAAGTCTTACTCTACCCCCAGGCTAGAGTACAGTGGTGTGATATTGGCTCGCTGCAACCTGTCTCCTGGGTTGAAGCAATTCTCCTGCCTCAGCCTCCGGAGTAGCTGGGATTACAGGTGCCTGCCACCACACCCAACTAATTTTCTTATTTTTAGTAGAGAAGGGGTTTCACCATGTTGGCCAGGCTGGTCTCGAACTCCTGACCTCAAGTGATCCGCCCTCCTCAGGCTCCAAAGGGCCGGAATTATAGGCGTGAGCCACCGCGCCCAGCTAGTGCGTTCTTTCTTCTGTGGCTCCCGGTCCTGGCCTCCTTACCTTGTCTTGGTCCTGATCTTTTGTGTCTTCCACATCTTCCCAAGGCTGTTCAGAAAGGCCAAGAGCTTGTTGCTAATGTGGCCACGGCTGATAGTCAGATGTCTGGCTGATGGCGGCCTCATGTGCTGGCTGCCCGCCTGAGCCAGTTGGCTGTGTATGAACAAAAGCTCTTCTGTGGTCACAGCTGCCTCGCTGAGCACTGATCACAAGATATTTGAGCACAGGCGTGCAGCTTCCCCTGGGATGATGGTGTCTCGGAGTCGAAATGGGCAGGGCTCCTTGAGGCATTCCTGGACCCCATTTCTGGGGGCCTCTTTCTTCTGCTGGGGATGTCCATCAGGCCAGGCGCATTCTGATCCACAGCTTCCTCCCCTGGTCAGTCAGGGAAGCCTGTTAGCCCCATTTCCTCCAACAAGATAATGCGTAGAAGACTGGGATCTGGGGTGCAAGGGCTCAGGATTATGAGAAGAGATCTGTGGAGCAAAGGGGCTGGTGCCCACAGACTTGGCAGGTATTGTGGAGTACAGACCAGGCTTGTTTGGGGAGTACTCTTTTTTATTGTTGAAGTGGAGTCTCACTTTATCGCGCAGGTTGGAGTACAGTGGCACAATCTCAGCTCACTGTAATCTCCGCCTCCTGGGTTCAAGTGTTTCTCCTGTCTCAGCCTCCTGAGTAGCTGAGATTATAGATGTGCGCCACCATGCCCAGCTAATTTTTGTGGGTTTTGTGTGTTTTTTTATTTTATTATTTATTTATTAATTATTATTATTATTATTGAGAATGAGTCTTGCTCTGTCACCCAGGCTGGAGTGCAGTGGCGCGATCTTGGCTTGCTGAAACCTCTGCCTCCCTGGTTCAAGCAATTCTCCTGCTTCAGCCCCCCAGGTAGCTGGGATTACAGGCGTGCACCACCACACCCCATTAGGTTTTGTATTTTTAGTAGATACAAGGTTTCTCCATGTTGGCCAGGCTGGTCTCGAACTCCTGACCTCAGGTGATATGCCTGCCTTGGCCTCCTAAAGTGCTGGGATTACAGGTGTGAGCCACTGCACCCAGCCTAATTTTTGTATTTTTAGTAGAGATGCGGTTTCACCATGTTGTCTAGACTGGTCTCGAACTCTTGACCTCACGTGATCCACCCACCTCGGTCTCTCAAAGTGCTGGGATTACAGGTGTGAGCCACTGCACCCAGCCAGGCGTACCCTTCGAATGCTGCTCATGTGATGAAGATACCGCATTTTGACCATGGCCAGATTCCAGGAGACGGGGAAAGGGAATACTAACTCATGGATTGTATTCTAGTCACTTTACACGTGTATTAATAATAGCTAACTCTTGGCTGGGCACAGTGGCTCACGCCTGAAATCCCAGCACTTTGGGAGGCCGAGACAGGAGGGCTGCTTGAGCCCAGAGTTTGAGACCAGCCTGGGCAACAAAGTGAGACCCCATTCTCTACAAAAAATTTAAAAATTAGTGGGGTGTGGTGGTGTGCCTGTAGTCCCAGCTCCTTGGGAGTCTGAGGTGGATCGCTTGAGCCCAGGAGCTGGAGGCTGCCGTGAGTTGTGATTGCATCACTGTACTCTAGCCTGGGCAACACAGCAAGACTGTGTCTCAGAAAAAAAAAAAAAAAAAGTCAACTCTTAGTAGATCCTTGCTGGGTACTTCTCTAAGCACTTTGTGTACATTAATTCATCAAATCTCACAGGTTCAGACCTGTGAGGCTCTGTTAACACCCCTCAAGATACGGAGGCACAGAGAGGTTTAGTAGCTTGCCCAAGACCACACAGTAAGTGGAAATGCTGGCATTTCGTTGGGCCCCCTGGCTCCAGTGGGCACTTAGCCATGGTGCTCCGCTATCTCTTGTTTAATTCAGAGAATAACAAACCAATCAAAAGAGCTCATTTTATGTGTTAGGTTGGTGCAAAAGTAACTGCAGTATTTTCTATTTTTATTTTATTTTAATTGAGACAGAGTTTTGCTCTTGTTGCCCAGGCTGGAGTGCAATGACGTGATCTCGGTTCACCGCAAGCTCCACCTCCAGGGTTCAAGTGATTCTCCTGCCTCAGCCTCTCGAGTAGCTGGGATTACAGGCATGTGCCACCACACTTGGCTAATTTTGTATTTTTAGTAGAGAGAGGAGTTCTCCATGTTGGTCAGGCTGGTCTCGAACTCCCGACCTCAGGTGATCCACCCACCTCGGCCTCCCAAAGTGCTGGGATTACAGGCGTGAGCCACCGCGCCTGGCCAGTTTTTGCCATTTTAATTGGAAAATATAAGCTCAGTGAAGCAAAATGACTTGCTTGCAACCTCACAGCTAGTGAGTGACAGACACTAGGTCTAGGCTCTTCCTGATTTCAGTGCCCAGGGTCTTTCCACTCTTAATCCTGCCTTTGATTTTTCTCTCTATCCAGGTTTCCCAGTTTGTGTTCCCTCTGGCCATGCCACATCCTCTTACACCTGCTCTTCTTGTTCATCCTGGCCGTTACTGCTTCCCTCAGCATTATTACAGCTATTTTTTAGCCTTTATCAACAACAGTATTTAAAATAATGAAAGTTATCAGTGCTGTTTAAGGATCTTTTCTGAAACAAGGGAGAGTGTTACAATATTCTTCTTTTCATCTCCAAAGACAGTTGACTACTAGTTTTCCTCCCTCCTTCTATCCTTTCTTTCTTTGGTGGGATTACTTATGTAAAGGATGGGAGATGGGGTGAAAGGGGAGTTCAGTGTGGGCCTTAAAAGCTGAGAAATAGGCCAGGCACCGTGGTTCCCGTCTGTAATCCCAGCATTTTGGGAGGCTGAGGCGAGAGAATCACTTGAGTCCAGGGGTTTGAGACCAGGCTGGCCAACATGGTGAAACTGTGTCTCTACAAAAAATAAATTAGCCAGACGTGGCGGTGCGTGCCTATAGTCCCAGCTACTCGGGAGGCTGAGGTAGGAGGACTGCTTGAGCCTGCGAGGGTCCAGGCTGGCCGAGAACATACCACTGCACTCCAGCCTGGGTGCTGGACTACAGCACCACCCTATCTCCAAAAAAAAAAAAAAAACTTGAGAAATGTGACCTTTGTGCAGAGACTCTGTGACCACTAGGGGGCAATGTGAGCCCACCTTTGTGAATGCAGATGTCCAGCACCATGGACACTCCCACAACCAAGAAATCTTCCAGTAGTATCCCTATGGGAGCACGAGATCTCAGGACTGACTGAACAACAGTAACCACCCTTCTACCAAAAGCTCCTGAATGAAATCCCCAAAGAAATCCCTCAGGATCCAAGGGGAGCCTGGTTTGGGGGACTCCCAGTTTGGGGGACTCCCAGTTTGGGGGACTCCCTGCTAAGCTGTCACCCTGAGAACAGAGCTCTCCATGCATGCCCCTCATCACAGGCTCTGCCCTTAGCTGCCTCACTGGGCCTCTTACCATTCTTTCAAATTCAGCTGGCTTTACCTCTGTTGGTTCCAGCTTCCTTAAAAGCAGTCTGTCCACTGCCCCTCTTTGTTCCTCTGTCTGCTTTTTTTTTTTTTTTTTTTGAGACAGGGTCTCACTCTGTTGCCCAGGCTGGAGTGCAGTGATGCAAGATGCAATCTCGGCTCAACTTCCTGGGCTCAGGCAATGCTCCTGCCTCAGCGTCCCGAGGAGCTGGGACTACAGGTGCACATCACCATGCCAGGCTAGTTTTATTTTTTGTAGAGATGGGGTCTCACTATGTTGTCCAGGCTGGTCTCAAACTTGGTCTCTGCCCAAGCGATCCTCCTGCCTTGGCCTCCCAAGGTGCTGAAATTGCAGGCATCAGCCACCATGTTCAGCCTCTGCCTGCTTTTTTATTTTTATTTTTAGAGACAGAATCTTGCTCTGCTGCCCAGGTTGGAGTGCAGTGGTGCAATCATAGCTCACTACAGCCTCAAACTCCTGGGCTCAAAGGATGCTCCAGCCTCAGCCTCCCAAGTAGCTACAACTACAGGCATGTACCATCATGCTAGACACATTTTATTAAAAACAAATTGTTTTTAGAGACAGGG